TCTCTCTCTCTCTCTCTCTCTCTCGCGCGCTCTCTCTCTCTCTCTGCGCGCCGCTTCTCTCTCTCTCTCTGTCTCTCCTCTGTCTCTCCCTATCTTTCTCTCTCGGTCGCCTTCTGTCTATCTCTCCCTTACTTCCTTCCTCCTTCCCTCCCTCCTCTCTCTTTCTCCCTCCTCTTTCTCTGTCTTCGACCATTTCGATGTTTTATGTAGGAAACTAGCGGCCACGTGTAGGACAGTGAGCACTTAACCTATTTCCCACAGATCCTAGATCTTATCCTCACTCTTTCTCTGGTTCCGTCCATCCTCTTTCCCTCGAGAGAGAGAGAGAGAGAGATAGATAGATAGAGCGACTGCGTGTGTGAGAAAGAGAGAGTATAAGATCTAGGGTCCACGTTTGCCATGGTTGATTTACTTATGTGCGCAGCGTAACATAACTAGCCTCAAGCTTATACACATATATAACGCACACGTGGCATGTGGATGAATTGGAGAAGAAACTAGGCCGAGTTATCCGCCGCCAGGTGGCGTAGCAGTATGCAAACAGACGGAAGCTATACTAGCTTAAACAAACAACTGTGGCAAAACGTAAACTAACATGACGATGGTACACAAATGATGTGAAGGCGGTATGTGACGTGCGTGTGTGTATGTGTGTATGTGTGTGTGTGTGTGTGTGTGTGTGTGTGTGTGTGTGTGTGTGTGTGTGGGTGGCGTGCGTGGCGTGCGAGTGTGTGTGTGTGTGTGTGCGTGGCGTGCGCGCGCGCCGGTGTGTGAGTGTGTGTGTGTGTGTGTGTGTGTGTGTGTGTGTGTGTGTGTGTGTGTGTGTGTGGTGTGTGTGTGTGTGTGGTGTGTGTGTGTGTGTATGGGTGTGTGTGCGCGTGCGGGCGTGCCGTGCGTGTGTGTGTCGTAATGTGTGTGTGTGTGTGTGGCGTGCGTGTGTGCGTGTGTGCGTGCGTGCGTGTGTTGGTGTGTGTGTGTGTGTGTGTGTGTGTGGTGTGTGTGTGTGTGGTGTGTGTGTGTGTGTGTGTGTGTGTGTGTGTGTGTGTGTGATGTAATGTCTGGTGCAGGGATAAAGACGATGGCTGAACCATTATTTCTCCGCTAACAGAGGTGGTGGTGGCGGCGGTGGCGGCGGTGGCGGCGGCGGCGGCATCCAAGCATTTGATTCATTTATTATTAACGCCGCACTGAAATGGAAAGCTTGTCAAACAAATTAATTCAGCTTCCTTCAAATACGAGCCACAGGATTGTATAAAATAATAACATGCTAGATTAATGTTGGTTTATCTTGGCTAAAATGTTTACTAATGAACACATACACACACACACACACACACACACACACACACACACACACACACACACACACACACACACACACACACACATACACACACACACGCGGCGCGCGCAGTGAATGAGAGAAAGAGAGAGAGAGTGGGAGAAATAGCGAAAGAGAGTGAGGGAGAGAGAAAGGGGAAGAGAGAGGAAAAGAGAACGAGAGAGTAGTATATATATAGATGCAAACATATAAAGTAAAAGAAGATGCCCAGAACAGAGCCCACACGTAGCTTTGTCCTCTCTAAGCAAAGTGTGTCAAGTGCTACGGCCCTGGCGGTGTATAGTGTGACATAGATATGAAATCATTTGCTACCAATGTAGTACCCTAACTAAAATACGATACTATTATTGTTTTAGGCGGACAGGAGTAACAACAGTATATCTAATGGGTGCGACAGTCTTGTGAGATAAACACACACACACGACAAGCTGTCAAGATGGCGACCACCACCGGTAACTCCACCATGGATCTGCTACGTTACTATAGCAACGCCAGTAACAGCAGCAGCAGCAGCCTAGCAGACGACACCTTCACGCCACCATCCGATTACAGACGAGACCGCGTCTCTGTCTACATCTACGTCGTCTGCTTCCCCGTCGTCCTGGCAACCGGGTTGCTAGGCAACACGCTCACGTCATCGTGCTGTGGCGCAGCAAGCGTCTGCGCAACAACGTATCTTACACATACATCCGCTGGATGGCGCTGTGCGACCTCGCCGTCATTCCCGTGTTC